TCCCTTGCCCACATAGAAATTGAGTTATTTATTCTTTTCTTATTGATTAGTTTGAGTTCTCTGTAGATTCTAGTTGTCAGACCTTTGTCAGAAGCATAATCTGCAAAAATCTTCTCCCATTCTGAAGGTTGTCTGTTTGCTTTACTTACTGTGCTCTTGGCTGTGCAAAAAGCTTTTTAGTTTGATCAGATCCCAGTAATGGATTTTTGATGTTGCTTCAATTGCCTGGGGTGGGGGGGTGGGGGGATTCTCCTCATAAAATACTCTCCCAGGCTGATTTCTTCAAGTGTTTTCCCTGGACTCTCTTCTAGTATTTTGATAGTTTCATGTCTTAAGTTCAAATCTTTTATCCAGTGAGAATCAATTTTTGTTAATGGTGAAAGGTGGGGATCCAGTTTCAGTCTTATACAGGATGCCATCCAGTTTACCCAGCACCATTCGTTAAATAGGGAGTCTTTCCACCACTGAATGTTTTTGATAGGCTTATCGAAGATCAAATGGCGATAAGTAGTGGGGTTCATCTCTTGGTTCTCTATTGAGAATATGGTCTTTGAGATTTCTTTTGTTGGCCAGGTTCCGTGGCTCATGCCTATAATCTTAGCACTCTGGGAGGCTGAAGTGAATGGGTTGCCTGAGCTTAGGAGGTTGAAATCAGCCTGAGCAAGAGCCAGACCTTATATCTACCAAAAGTAGAAAAATTAAAGCTGGGTGTTGTGGTGGGTGCCTGTAGTCCAGCTACTTGGGAGGCTGAAGCAAGCGGATGGCTTAAGCCCAAGAATTTGAGTTTGCTGTGAGTTATGACACCATGACAGTCTCACCTGGGATTCAGAGTGAAACTCTGTCTCAAAAAAATAAAAATAAAAAGATTCTGTTGTTATTGCTGTTTTTTAAGAGGCAGTCTTGTTTTGTTGCCCAGGCAAATTTCTAGGCTCACGAGATCTTTAACCACAGTCACCTGAATAGCCAGAACTACAAGTGTATGCCACAAAACCTGGCTGAGAATATGCAGCAGCTTAGCGTGCTGTCATCCTGGGAAGAAGGCAGAATGAGCTGGGGGGTAGCCAGCATGGTCTGTTTATCAGGGCTATTGTTAATCACTCTTCTGGTTATAACTTTAATCAGGCATTGGCTATTCCACAGCCAAATTGTGGCAGTGTGCCTTCAGCTATTGTTGAAAGAGAAAAACTTTTGAAAGAACGTATACTACACAATCCTGATAATATTAAATTTGATTTGCATATACTTGTACATAGAGAAATCTGGAAGAATGTGATTTAAATTGAAAAAAAGCAGAACTATTTCATTTTGAAAGTAGAGGACATGTTTTGTCCATTTTATATAGAGTAGGATAGTGGATTCTTGATCATCCTTTTGTCTATATAGTAATTCTGAAAATGCTTCTCAGGAGCATTGTAGCAGTGAATCAGTGCATTGTGTCTTCTCTAGGCACATGTCTTCATTTAGTTCATATAATTGCCCAAGCTTGAGCAACTGCTGAGGTCCTCCCTCAGCAAGGAACAGTGGACTATGGTACAGTAGGCCCAAATAGACAGGGGTATCTTGGATATTAAGTTAGCCAAGTCCTAATATTCGCTCTGACAAAATCACTTGGTGCCACCAACTGCATCAATATTAAGCCATGATGGGCCTTCACTGTCACCCATTGAGACCTTTATATTCTTATCTTTCTCTAACAGATGGAATTCTCCTTTTATCCCCTCTTACTTAATTTTATAGTTCATTAAAATTGTAAGTAGTGACATGGGTTTTTAAAAATTAAATATATTCTTTCTCTTCCCTTCCTGAATAATTCGGTCAATAAGTTATTAGATGAGGCTCTCTCTCTCTCTCTCACCTCCCTCTGCCTTCCTTCTCTCTCCTCTGTCTTCCCCCTCACTCTACTCTCTCTCTCTCTTCTCTTCCCCACTCTCTCCTTATCTCTCTCCCCTCTTTTCTCTTCTCCTTGGTGCTGCTCTGCTCCCCACCAATAAAAACTTTTCCTACAAAAAAAAAAAAGTTATTAGATGAGACTGAGCAAGGTAGGCATATGCATAAGGGAATGGGGTGGGGATGGGAGGAAGGATCTTTGGAAATACATGGGGGAAGTGGACAGACGTAGGGTGTCAGCCTGAGCATGGTAATGAGGGTGTTCATGTAGGTTGGCTTCCTAGCACAAAGTGGTGGGGCTTCAGTGGAGCAAAGGGGATGTCCATGTTTGAGGGGGGTGGCAGAAGTTTGTCAAGGGATGTCAGAACCTAAATGGAGTCCACATAGGGTATGGCCTAGCATGAGGGAAGGTTAGAACTTGAGCTAGTGAGGAGAGGTAGGATAGCAGCAAAAGGAGATTGGTTATATACAGGAGACCAATCATATTTATAAAAACGTTAGAGATAATGGGAGTCAGTCTTCTTACTTCCTGAGGAGGGGAGTGCTAGTAAGGAGCAAAAAAGCTGGAATGAACCTTTTGGTGTTGAATTGGAATTGTCAGTATTGGTGTGTATAAATGGTTTCTAGTATGTGTAGATATGGAAATAAATACAGATTTGATGTATGTATATTCCCTAGCCTTGTCCTTTGAGATAGCCTCGGAACAACAGTAGTGCAGTAGAAATGAGCACATAGAGAAACCGGATCTTGATTTTTACATAACGTTTACCAATAAAAGGAACCAGAGTTGCATGGAGAAATAGTTGATTTCCAGGGTTGGGGCAGGGAAAGATGAGGCTGGAACATCTTACGGTGCTAGGAAGTAGGCAAGTGCTCAGTGTGATGGGAACATGTCAGAAGGATATAGAAAATGGAAGCCACCTTGAAAGAACTGCTGCTGGCCAGACTGTAGCAATTTGAGCAGCATAGTAATTGCCATAATAGTTTATAGTCAATCTATTCAGTAAAGTGGGAATTCAGGAGTTCATATTGATATAAATAAATGGATAGATTGAAAGTTTGATGAGGAATGAGCTTTTACATAGTCTGGAGGTTTCTCCCCGCAAAGTACAAAGAGGGATAGAGTAACTTAGTCAATAGAGAAGCCTCGCAGACACCAGCATAATCAAGTGACCAAAGATTAACCTTGTCTCAGCAATGGGACAAAACAAAAACTATGTGTACCTGGTAAGATTCAGTGAAATGAATACAGCATCATTTCTGTTATAGTCCTGCTAAAGAAGCATAATCATCAAGAAAGTAGAAAAACCCAAATTGAGGGACACTGTGCAAAATAACTGACCTTTAATCTTCAAAAGTGTTAAGATCTTGAAAGACAAAGACTGAGGAACTATTTCAGAAAAAAGGAAACTAAAGAAATACATTTAAATGCATTGTGTGATTCTGGACTTCATTCTTTGGCTATAAAGAACAATTTTGGAACAGGTGACAAAATATGAATGGGTCTGAGGATTAGATGGTAGTTGTACATTCACCCGGTAGTATATGCAGGACATTGGTACCAGGACCCCCCACTCCAATGCCAAAATCCACAAATACTCCCTATAAGTGGGTTTAGCATCCCTTGAATACTGTACTTTTGATCTGAGTTTGGCTGAAAAAAATCCCCATGTAAGTGGCAGTTCAAATCTGTGTTGTTGAAGGGTTATGTGTACTGTGTCAAAGTTTATTTACTGATAAAGATGGTTAAATTATGGTCCTTATTTGTAGAAAACATACACTAAACCATCAGGAATTATGGGACATCATGTTACAGCTTACTTGAATGAATTCAGAAAAAAATATTCTTTTTTTTTTTTTTAGACAGAGCCTCAAGCTGTCCCCCTGGGCAGAGTGCCGTGGCATTACAGCTCACAGCAACCTTCAACTCCTGGGCTCAAGCGAGTCTCCTGCCTCCGCCTCCCAAGTAGCTGGGACCACAGGCGCCCGCCACAACGCCCAGCCATTTTTTGGTTGCAGCCGTCATTGTTGTTTGGCGGGTCCGGGCTGGGGATTCGAACCCGCCACCTTAGGTGTACGTGGCTGGTGCCTTAGCCGGTTGAGCTATAGGCGCCAAGCCGAGAAAAAAATATTCTTCTTAGAACTTTTATCTCAGAATAAAAAGTGAAAAATAAGTATATATACTAATAGAATGGCTATAACATATCAGTGAAGGTCCCAAGAGAGATCAGAACCTTAATGACCGTTATATTCTTTGTAATAACTATCTTTCATGCATCTAGAATGGAGCTAAATACCTACCACTGTGGGAGAATGAGAAAGTGGCACATTTTTCAGAAGGTCTAGCTGTCTTATGGAACTCTTTTGGATAAGAGCCAAGAAGAATAATAAATATACCTGTGAACCCAAGAAATTATCTTGGGAACTTAATAAATTGTCATTATAATTATGTATGAAATTTAAGAAAGCAATTTCATAATTTATTTTAAGATTTTGTCATAATTACCTTTCTGAATTTTATGTTTATTGTTTGCATGCCTTTTTGTTAAATCAGTCATATTTAGATGTATCTTAGGTCATTTCCTCTTTGGTAATCTCTTTAAGTCAACGGCCTCATCTTCCTCCTAGTAATGATATTAAAGCAGTATACACTACATATAATAGGCACTTGATAGTACTTGGCAGAAAAAGTTTCTGTAGTCACTGACTGAAGAAAGAATTCATTTTGTAAGTTTATCAAGGAGATTTGAAACATGTATCTGTTTTCAGCTGTTTATGAATACCATGAAAGGTAAATCATCTTCATTTATAGAAGATACCATTAGCAGGGGGTTAGTGCTTGTGCCCTAAACCTTAAATAATTAGCATCTAAAAGACCATCACAGATATTAATCTAAGTTTTTATGTTATTAGCATATATTTTGAAAAGGGAATGTATACATCTTGATTTTGTTATTCTCTTTTAGTTCCAATAATGGAAGGGAGTCTGGTGGCAGATTCTAAATAATGCTCTGTCACTTTGGAATGTTAGACATTACATCATTGTTTTGAAATATAACTTACTATAGGCATTGGATTGATAGCATTTTAAAAAAAAAATTTAATTGTAACAGAAATCAGCCAGACTATTACGAAGTGGTTTCTCAACCCATTGACTTGATGAAAATCCAACAGAAACTAAAAATGGAAGAATATGATGATGTTAATCTGCTGACTGCTGACTTCCAGCTGCTTTTTAACAATGCAAAAGCCTATTATAAGGTAAGAAACATCAAATTCGGGAAGTAATCCAATTTGATAATTGTCTAGCTTTTTAATATTTATCAGTTTGGCAGGTGAGTAGTGGTTTCTCTCTGGTTTGCATTCACATTTTTCTTATCAGTAAAGAGATTGAATGCTCATATGATTTTGAGCCATTCCTGTTTATTCTGTATTTATTCCCATCTTTTGCCCATTTTTTTCTCTTAGGTCGTTAATCATTTTCATATTTATTTCTGGAAAATTTTAAATATCTTATATTTTTGATTATGTTTTAAATATCTTCTCCCATTGTGTCTTTTGTTTGTTTGCTTTGAAACAGAGTCTCACTATGTTGTCTTTGGTAGAGTGCTGCGATGTTGCAGCTCACAGCAACCTCAAACTCTTGGGCTCAGGCGATTCTCTTACCTCAGGTCTCCCTCATAGCTAGGACTACAGGTGCCTGCCACAAAACTCAGCTATTTTTTTTTTGTTTGTTTGTTTGTTTAGCAAACTGGGGCGGGGTATGAACTCACCAGCCCCAGTGCATGTGGCTGGCACCCTGATTGCTGAGCTACAGGCGCTCAGCCCTATTCTGTCTTTTCATTCTTTTTATGGTGTCTTTTGATGAACCTAGCTTTTTATTTTAGTATAATCAAATTTATTAGTCTTTATTTAACTTTGTGGTTTATTCTTTGTATCTTGTATCAGAAATTCCTCTTGCCCAAAGGTTATAAAAATATTCTTATATATTTTTAAAGTTCTATAGTTCTGTCTCTTATGTATAAGCTTTTAATGCAGCCAGTATGCATCCCAGCACCACCCCTAAAAATATCAGGGTTAAACTGTCAGTAAGTTAATGCTTCGTGCATCATTTCTGCAGTTCATGTGTGTTCTCAGCACCCCAAAACGTCCGTGTTTAAGATCTCTACTGCTTTCCTGGCTAGTCACAAATGGGCATGGACTTTTTTTCTTTTGCTGCCATTATACTGTGCTGTGCTAACAACAAAACGACTATGTCTCAAGATGAACTCACACGACTGGCTTGCTGTGGATGAAGCTATTCTAGTAACTCATACCCTAAATACAGATGACCTCTTAGAAGCTGTTGTGAATCCTGGGGAAAAAAAGTTGCAGAGGAAGAAGACAGTGATGAGGACAGCTGTTAGGTGGAAAATGCATCCTGGCAGGCAGCTACTGCAGCATTTGAAACTGTAATAGCTTTTACAGAACAGCAACCTCTTCACTCAACATGTTATGCAGCTGCACATCATGCAAAACCTGACATTGTTTGAGAGGCATCGGGCCTCAAAGTGAGCTGTTATTTGTTTATATTTCAAGAATGATAATGCACAATTTTGCCATTGTAGCTTCTTCTACTGATGGAGATTCAGAACCATTTATATCCACTTCCCTTAATGCTGTCCATCAGACTCTAATGATCCTGATGTTATATGAACTCTTTATTTCTTCTGTAGCACTTTTAATTGTTAATGTGTATTACTTGAAGTTAAAGAAAATAGTGAAGTTGAAAAGTGTATTGACTGCGATTGAACTAAAATTTACTGCACTTACAAAGCCATTTTATAATACAGTAAAACTGTGACAGTAAGTGAAGTTTGCTTAAGTTTATTTCAATATTAATATCAAGTCAGTACAGAGTTTATGGTATAGTATGGAGTATAGAGTTAGGCCTGTTTTTAATAGTAACTCTTAAGCAACCAGAATCTACATTGCTCTGGAATCTACCAATCCCTCTGGCTGCTGGATAATAGGGAGTTTACTCTCATACCACATTTCATTTATCCATTTCCTAGTTGATGGACATTTAGTTTCTACTTTTTGCTGCTATGAATAATGCCACTATGAATTTTGTGACTATAACGAGTACCATTCATGGAGTACAGTGCTCTGCATGTTTTTATTAGACACATACTCTGTTCATTGTATTGCTAAAATCTTTTATATCCTTACTGATACACCTAAATGAACTATTCACTTGCTGAATTAGGCGTTTTAAAATCTCTTACTCAGATGATATATTTGTCTATTTCTCCATGTAATTCTGTTGATTTACTGCTTTGTATATTTTAAAACTTGGCAAATAGGAACATACAAATTTAAAATTATTGTCCTAGTAAATTGAACTTTTTAGCATTATGTGATAGCCATCTTTATTGCTAGTAGTGCCTTTTATTTGAAGTCTGATATTAATGTAGTTACACCAGCTCTGTTTTACTGTTTTTTGTAGTTTATATTTTTTCCTTTCTTATGCTTTCAGTATCCTTGTAATGTTGATATGTAACTTGAAAATAGTAGATATGTGAACTGTTAATTCAGTTTATAATCTTTACCTTTTAACTGGAGCATTTCAACTCTTTATAGTGTTCTTGTAGTTACCATTATGTTTGGATGTATTCCTGCCATCTAAATTTCTACTTTCTATTTATCTCACTTTTGAATGTTTTTATTTTTTTCTCTCTGCTTCCTTTTGATTTCATTTTGTTTTTAATATGTTCCCTCTAAAATTTGCAAGTTTTGGCTTGGTACCAAAGTGGTTAGCTCAGTGGTTTAGGGCGCCAGGGCTGGTGGGCTCGAACCCTGCCTGGGCCTGATAAACAACAATGACAACTACAACAACAAAAATAACTGGGTGTTGTGGCCGGCGCCTGTAGTCCTAGCTACTTGGGAGGCTCATGCAAGAGAATCGCTTAAGCCCAATAGTCTGAGGTTGCTGTGAGCTGTGATACCACAGCACTCTACCAAGGGCGCATAATGAGACTCTGTCTCAAAGAAAAATAAATAAATAAAAATAAAATTTGTAGGTCTTAAGATCTGTTGATAATTTTTTAGTTCTTCTCCAAGAAACTTTAATAGACATGATTAAATTATCAGAACCAGAAGTTAATCATCATCTTAATCCTGCTTCCAAACAATACAAAGAGCTTAAGATAATTCAAATCTGATCATCCTTCTCCTTATTTATAATGCTGATGTTGTATCCTTTAGTTCTTTTGTGACAATTTTCAATCCCATATAATTTTATTTTATATAGTCAGCATTTATTTTTACTTTCTTTATTCTTCATTCTTTATTGAGAAGTCATTTATCCGTGAGTGTAATTGTTCCTTTAAAGGTTATCTGTTGGGCAATGCCTGTAGCTCAGTGAGTAGGTTGCCAGACCCATATACACAGGGTGGTGGGTTCAAACGTGGCCCTGGCCAAACTGCAACAAAAAAATAGCCAGGCATTGTGACGGGTGCCTATAGTCCCAGCTACTCAGGAGGCTGAGGCAAGATAATTGCCTAAGCCCAAGAGCTGGAGATTGCTGTGAGCTGTGATGCTACAGGACTCTACCAAGGATGACAAAGTGAGACTGTCTCAAAAAAAAAAAAAAGTAAAGGTTATCTGTCCTTTCTGGCTATTTTTAGTATCTTCTTTTTCCTTTCACTGTTCTACAGTTTTATTGTAATATATTTAGATATGGATATATTTTTATTTATAGAATTTGTGAATTGTAGCACCTCCTAAATCTTAGATTGGTGTTCCTTTCTCATCAGCTCTGGAGAGTTCTCAGCCATTACATCTTCTCATGTTGCTTCTGCCCCATTCCCTCTTTTCTTTTCCTTGCAGAACTCTGTTTGGGTATTGTATTAGACTTCCCTTGGGTCTTCCTTTCTCTTAACCTTTTATGTTCCCTGATTTTTCTTTTTTAGACAAGAATCTCGCTTTGTCACCCTTGGTAGAGTGCCCTGATGTTCATAGCTCACAGCAACCTCAAACTCTTGGGCTCTAGCGATCCTCTTGTATCAGCCTTTCTAGTAGCTGGGACTATTAGGTGCCTGCCACAACACCTGGCTATTTTTTAGAGATGGGGTTTCACTCTGGCTCAGGTTGGTCTCAAACTCCTGAATTCAAGCGATCTACCCGCTTCAGCCTGCCAGAGTGCTAGGATTATGGGCATGAGCCACTGTGCCTGGCATATTCTGGGATTTTGTATATTTATTGATTTTTAGGTAATTTTTTATTCTTCCAAATTTCTTGGCAAAATCTGCTGTTAAATCATTCTATTCAGTTTTTACTTTTTTTTTTCTTTTGAGACAGAGTCCCAGTCTGTTGCCTGAGGCTTTACTACCATGGTGTCAGACTAGTTCACAGCAACTCAAATTCCTGGGCTTAAGCAATCTTCCTGCCTCAGCCTTCCAAGTAGCTGGGACTTTAGGTACTAGCTCAATGCCCATCTAATTTTTCTATTTTTATTCAAAACAGGGTCTTACTCTTGCTGAGGCTGGTTTTTTTTTTTTTTT